GAGCGAGGAGCGCGGCCGGGCCCGGCAGCACCTGCCCGGGCTGCGGCCCCGGGCACCGCGCTCGCTGTCCGCCTCGGTCGTGTCCTGTGCCGTTCGGGGCCTGCCTTGTGTCCCGGCACAGAAGCCGCTTTCGTGCGTGTCCGTGATGGATAAAATTATTCCTTGCCTGGGGCTCGGAAGGCCAACGCCCTGTCAGCGCTGAGATCGTTTCTCAGGACTTATTTGCCATGCCATGGTTAAAAATAAGCCGTCTAACTCGTACAAAATTGTATGCTGCGTTTGACGGCACTGTGCCTTCTAACGCATAGGCGATCTCAGCCGTTTACATTTGCACAGCCCTAAGCTACACCTTATGTAGCTGGTTTAGCTGTAGTACAGCATAGGTTATTTCAAAAACAAAGCAGTCGTAGGAAGAAAACTTAGCAAAGCCAGGCGAAGTTAAATTGTGTGCCACCTGCTATGTTTTACCATTGCCTTAAAGAGAATAATGTATTAATACTGAAGGTTTCCTTTTTTAGGAGTGCAGCTTCAAGTTGAACTATATTTCTTTAGGCAGAAATAACCCTACAACAAGACATTGCAGACTTGTCATTTTGACTTTTTTCTTTCCTGGTAGTTATCCTTAGTCTTAGTTGTTTTCCTATGTCCTATTTTGCAGAAAAGATTGCTTTGGTTCTCTTGCATTTTGCCTATTTATACTAATCAAGCTTATTCATATTACTCGGTTTCTGTGGTATGGGTCCTTCACCTTCCTGAGGTTCTTCAGCAACATTTGTGTTTGGTGTATGGTGATTCTCTGACAAAAATATTTCCAAATCAGAGAGACCTTCATGCGAGATGTGTGTGAAGTATGAATCTAAGCTAGTAGGGTCTCCTGTTGGAAGGAAGCTGAGTACAGCAAAGCGCAAATGCTGTCAGTGCCCTCAGGTGAGGCTTGGGTGCAGAAGAGCTTAGGAACCTTTGGCTTATGGAAACTTTCTTAGGGTATGGAAGTTCTTTCTACTGTAGAAGAAAATTACCTGTTAGTGCACCATTAATTTATTTTGATGATGATCATTTTGGTGTTTGTTTTGCCAATTCTCTTTTCTTTTCTGGCACCTCTATATCATCACACCTTCCTCAGCTCACTAGCATCTTATTTTTGTCAGTGTTTTTTCATATAGAGCCTTAAACACCATCAACATCACTGAGTAGTCATTGATCTTCAAAGGTAGTCAGGTGGTCAGTACATTAGAAATATAGATTTGTACCATTTATACTTAATTTATTTTCTATGTGACATTGGAAATAAATTTTCAGTAAGAATTAAGCTCGCACCTTTCTATATTGAATAATTATTCTAAAGTTGATGTGGATCTCTTGAATTCAGTCTGTTTTTTAATATGACTAACTTGCAAAATACTGTATGTAGTGCTTCTTAACAAACAACATTTGGGACATTTTTCCCCCCTTCTATCATAGTTCTTGCAAGTGAAGCTGAATGAAAGACTGTTAATCAAGTCCTATAGCTTTATATGGTGTTCACATACTAGCTGAATCAGAGGTATGACAGTACTTGCTTTATTTAAAGATAAAACATGCTTTTTCTATACTGTCTGTGAAGATGAGAGATGAAAACATTTTTAGCAATCTATCCCTTTTTCTACACCAAGTGAGCCAACTGTATCAAATAGAATGGAGATTTAGAGTAGGTGATTTACAGAAAAGCTTCAAAACATGTGCTGCAACTGAGGAGACAAATGCATTGGCATTTTGAGGAGAAAAAAAAAAAGTAACATGACCTGCCGGGCTAGATGACTAATTATGGCTAACTAAATCTGTTTTTTTGCCTAGTACTCAAGCAAGGATGCCTTAAGAAGCTAACTATGGATAAATACATTAAAGTGCGAAAGATTGGAGAAGGCTCCTTTGGGAAAGCAATTCTTGTCAAAGCTAAAGAAGATGACCAACAGTATGTTATTAAAGAAATAAATATCTCTAAGGTGAGTGATTATTGTTAATTAATGATTTCTTCATTTGTATTCCTGTTCTCAAAAATTATTATTTTCTTTCTGAAGATGTCAAATAAAGAGAGAGAAGAATCAAGGAGAGAAGTTGCTGTATTGGCTAACATGAAACATCCAAATATCGTTCTGTATAGGGAGTCATTTGAAGGTAAGATTAATTCAAAAAGTAGAACCTGAAATAGTGATAGTGACTGTCTATGCACTACCTAATTGCATGTATTTTAAAAATCCATGGCTTTCCCTCTTTATCAGTCTTTCATACCTTTATTACTTGCTTCAGTTCTTTTTAGTTGTCTTTTTTTCGTAATTCCCTTGCACGTTTAAAAAGAATAGTAATAATTTCAAAAGTGCAACAATTAAACAGAAATATTCACATCTCTTCCTTACGTGCATCAATTTTGATGCTTAGTTAAGAAGTTTATGTGCTTTTGTTGCACCAGTGAAACAAGTCCTAAGTGTCCTTGAATGCTTGCATATACTCTAATGACTTGAATGCTTAAGTGTGTTAAATATCAATATGATCTACATTTGTGTATCGATAACCTAGCAAGAGCAGTTTTATCTCTGAGTTTGTGGTCTTAAATGCAGTCTTCAGTAATTGCACTCATATAACTGCTTTCAGAGCTGAAAAGATAGATGGAATTGTTTGCTTCCTCAAGCTATGGAAGAAGGAACAATATAATTCCACCTTGTTTTCACAATGAATGTCTTCGGAAATGAACAGAGCACATAAAAGATTCCAAGAGCCTGTCACATGCATTATAATACTATTTAAAACCTAAATAGTATTTGATATACTGTATAGGAACATTGCTCTTTTCTCCTTACCTTCCTTTATGCTGATTTTCCTATGCACTGGCCCCTTTTGGGGGCATTGGTTTTACAGGTGTTATTTTTTTTCTTCTCCATACCAGAGAAGTCAGATGTTAACATAAATGGGAAGCTTAGGTTGTGAAACTCAATAAAAGCATAATTGCTTGAAGTTTGAAAAATAATAATAGCTAAATTCAGCTTCAGACATAATAAACTATGTCTGAGGCTGCATGTGAAAAGGTGATTTTTTTTTTGCATTTACTGTGAGTGCAGTGAGGATGTATGGACAGTTATGTTAAAGATGGGTCTTTTTTTTTTTCTTTTTGAAATACTTTGTGCCTTATTTTCAGAAAATGGTTGTCTCTACATAGTGATGGATTACTGTGAAGGAGGAGACTTATTTAAAAAAATAAATGCCCAGAAAGGAATCTTATTCTCTGAAGATCAGGTAACAGCAAACTGCTGCTGCAGTGTTTTGTTGCATGATACTTTTTAAGTGAGTTTTAAATTATTTTCATTCAGTTTGGTAGATATGGTTGCTTACTAAAAAGGGGTTTCTCAAATTGTGATTCTCGTTGCCATCAGTCACAGCAGTATCTTTAAAAAAAACATACAAAAAACCCCAACATAGCTGGAAATAATGGGTATGTTAATAGGGATTTTGTCTTTATGTGTAAGATGCTACTTTTTAAAAAATTAATTCTCTTGCAAAGTAAAACAAATCTGAGAAGTGAAAAATACTGAAAGTGAAAAATACTGTGACTGTTTTGAAACCTTTGAAATACTGCTGTTAAAAAATATGTAATGGCATAGGATTTTTGGTTTGTAATACTGATTTCTGTTTATTGAAGGACATAATAACATACTTGGTAAATATATTAACATGAAGTACAACAATATTGAAGTTTACATAATTTGAAAGTTGAGTTTTTCATTAGAAAAAAAAATTGTATTCAAAGTATACCAGCAGATTTTTTTTTTCCATTTTATTGGTTATAAAGTTATTTGTACTGTGGGAGAATCTGGAATAAATTAGAAAGTTTTGTATACAGATTTGATTAAGTTAAGTTAAAATAGATTATGTAGGCTTCTTTTTGTTTGTTTGTTTGAACTGATGTATATTTCCTTGTTTATAAGTGGTTTCTATGCTTTTGTGTCTGCATCTAGTAGGATCTCAATTCACGTTTGGCTGGAAAGGCTTAGTAGTGTATTAGGTCTATTGATGGTATTTAGATTAGGGTAAATTTGTGTAAATAATTTATAAAGCTTTGCATTTTCCTAATTTAAGCTCACTATTACAAGAAAAACTTACAATGGGGAAAATTACACCTTGCATTATGCTGAAATTTTGACACATACGTAGCTCTTAAATTGGGAATGTAAACCCACTATTAACATGGACAAGTTCTTGCTTTTAGTCCTTTTTTTATATTATGGTTTTTATAAATTTACCCAAAAAAATTATTGACTTGTTTATAATCTTCTAGCTATATGTTGTTAGTTTATTTTCTTATTTCAATCAGCTTTGTGCTTTTTTGTTTTTATGGTAAAATACATAAAATTACTAGATGATAAAGTGCTTCTGTAAACATCAGTATGGCTTTTGAGGACTTGTATTGATTAACTTCAAGATGACTTGTGTCATCTTGGTGTATTGGTTACAGCAAAAGTGCAGTCTTTAAGATCCAAGTTCCATGTTCCGTTTTAGCCAATCAAATTCATATTGCATAGTTTTGTTAGCTTTAGAATAAGCAGTGAAAGTAGTAGTCTCAGGCTTAATATCTAATCTGACTAATAGGCTTCTTTCATGAGAAAGTTTGCACTAATAACAGTACTGTTAGGTTTATATTCCATGGTATAAATAAAGACAGGTTTGTGGGAAGAGAGTGAAGTCTTGTATTGTTAAAAAATCAGTTTTATAATTATGAATCTTCAGTTATGTAACTGAGAAAGCTTTCAGATAAATACCAACGCTGATGTTGCATTTTCTTTTATGCATAGATTCTGGATTGGTTTGTACAAATTTGTTTAGCACTAAAACACATACATGATAGAAAAATCTTACATCGGGACATCAAGTCACAGGTATGTAGGTAATTATTTTTTTACTAAATTACTGCCAATGTGATTACAATTTTCTACTGTAAGTTGGCAAATTATGCAAAATAGTCTTTTCATGTAAATACTCCTAATGCTGGAAACACTTTTTTCTTTATAATTGTCTGAAAGAGGTTTATAATATGATATTTGTGCAAACAGATGAGGCTATTTGATGAAGCTGCTTGAGTATTACTCATATTTATGTATGGGGACAGAAAATACTATTTTTTAGAATGTATGATTTTTTTTCTTTAATTTTTATTAAGTAGTACTAGCATAAGTCTGATGTTTCATAGTAGTCAATAACAATACTGCTAGTGGCTTCAGAGGGATTGAATGGTAGCAATCTTTATTCTTCCCAAAATATGTTGAGAGCAAAGAGTGTGCAATTCTATGACTGTTTTAATTAACAGACTTCTTAAAATTTCTATATAAAGAATATATTTTTGACGAAGGATGGAACAATACAGCTGGGAGATTTTGGAATTGCCAGAGTTCTTAACAGGTAACTCCTTTGCCATGCTCTTTTCTCTCACTTAATTTAAATTGCTTTAGTCTAGGAAAACACAGTCTGTGCACTTCATGTGAGTTAACTAGTTAACATTTGTTCTTATTTTTTCTTTAGTACTGCTGAGTTGGCTCGCACTTGCATAGGGACACCGTACTATTTGTCACCTGAAATATGTCAGAACAAACCTTACAACAATAAAAGGTACTAATAAGCATTTTATTAAACAATTTGGGTAAGGAGAAAAAAAGGAGTTCTTTAGAAATCTGAAGCTATCCTATTCATGTGATGAACCACCATTGCTTCATCTCTTAGGAGAAAGGTGTGGAGTGTCACTGTACAAGAGGGACCTTTGTAGATCTGTGCAGTACAAAGCTGTATGATGGAGAGATGACTTAGCTTAAAATTCCCAGTTATAGATCCAGTTGTATTCTTAATCATGGCTCTGCTTTTGCCTATGTTGTACTGCCTTAGTTTATGCAGCGTGACTGTGAAACTGTAATAGAGATGAAATCACAAACACAGCAATTGGATTCTCTAAGCACATGCATAGATACATGGATCAGCTTGCTCCAGATAACAGTCATACAGAGACTTTGCTTATACATTTGCTGACCTAGTAGTAGGATGTATCTGGTAACAGCATCCCTAATGTAATTAACATAGTAATTATTAAGTTACTCTTAATGCTTCACTCAGCTGCTGCATCCATTGCTCTGTGTCTTATGCTAAATTAAGAGTTTCTTAAAAGATAAGAATTCTTAAAGAGTTTCTTGTCCCTCAATTTCTCCTACAGGTGATTTATTATCCAATGTTATTCTAACCAAATTCTGTAATCCTATAAGTGAGAGTAAGGTCACCGCTAAATGGAGTAAATTTGCTTTAAGAATTTTATTTGCTGAAGTGGGTGGTAGTTTTAGGGTTGTTTTTTTGTGTTCATTTAATTCAAAGACCTCAGGCAAATGTATACAACTAGAGAAAAAAAAAGCTTTTGTCCATGTTCTAGCCTAATTTCTCCAACTGGTGTGGTTCAGATGAAAAGGTCTAAATAAAAACTTAATTCAAAATAACCCAACCCCATCTGGTTTTCAGGTTGGCTTTATTTTCATTATTGAACTTTTTGTTTGTTTGGGTTTTTTTGTGTCAGGGGGTTGTGGTTTGGAAAGAGGGAGGGTACGAGGGACCTTGTACATAGTCAAATTACAACCTTTTATTTTCAAGCAGAGGCTCCGCAACTGTAAGTTACTTGGCAATGTTACATCTAGAACTAATACTTCAGTATGTTCTCTTTGATATAGTGATATTTGGGCCCTTGGGTGTGTTCTCTATGAAATGTGCACGCTTAAACATGCTGTGAGTAGAAACTTCTCATTTCTTTAAAAGAATAGTGATTTCCAACAGGCATTTTTCATGATGTTATGCAGATGTGTTTCAGCTGATAGAAGACGTTCGTTCTGACTGTTTAAAATTACCTTCAATGTTTTAATCTCTTAGTATACTGACCAACATTTTCTATGTCTGCTTTGCTTCATTCATGCCAATCTCTCCAGAAACTTTTGCACTGTATATTTAGTTTTGAGTGAAGGTTTTTAATGAACTATGTTACGTGAAAAAAAAAATGTTAGGTGCTGTAACAAATGATACTCTGAATGCTGTTCCTTTCTTTCCAAAAACTTTGTTTTCATTGAAAGTCAGAATTTAGACTGTCAGTTTGTGTACAGATGGATTAATGCATTTGATTTTAGAACAGAGATAGTTCTCTGAAAAAACTCCAAAGGTGTAAGAGCTGCCTGTGTGCGTGTTGCTTTGAGTAATACATCTTTATCATCAATTTTCCAGTTAGGAAAGGCAGAAAAAATATTTTATGTTTTTATTGTGTTTTTTTTAGTGTTGTTTTTTTTCAATAGCTATTTTTATTAAAAGAAAAAAGATGAAAACATGAAAATTGGAATAAATTGTCAAGGGATAAGGATTTCACAACAAGCTTTTGTAATTTCATGTCGCTTGGTCTTTTATGTGGCAGCAGTTCGGACAATGTTTCCTTTCTGACAGTTGATAAGAATAGATTTTCTATGAACTGAGTGATATGTACTGGTTTTTTGTTTTGTTTTTGTAGAAAGGAATTGAAATGGGGTGCTCTGCTTCCTCAGATTAAGCCTAAGTCTAAGTATTCCTTTGGATTTTTCATTGAAAGAGT